TAAATACTCCTTGGAATAATCGGAATAAATGTTCCGATTATTCCAATTATTGAATAAATAAATTGAATGAATGAAAATAATCAGAACAAATATATAATTAATTCGAAAAAATTAAACAAAATAAGTAAAAACAACAAGTAATTCACAATGTCGTATAGAAATGTAATGAAAGAAAAGCGAAACTGAAAATAGAAGAAATTAAAATTTAAAAAAAAATTGTTTATTCAAAAATTATAACAAATTTTTTGCTTGAAAACATTTTAAGCTATTTTTTTTTCCCTATCAAAGGATTATAAATTTGTTTTTTTTTTTTTTAAACATTACAATTTTATAATTTTCAAGAAATGGTGACATCGTCTCCTCATGAATATCATCGTTCGAATCTACCACAATTTCAATTACAACGATTACTTGATGCTTTTGAAAAAGAGCAGAAAAGTTTTAACGATGAATCAAAACGATCAATTTGTGCGCTTGAAGTATGAATAACAAAAATATATTTATATTAGAGAAAAATAACTTTTTTTTAATGTTTTTAAAATTGAAAATGATAATATTCTAAAAAAAAACAAAATTTAGACTGTGATTTTAAAGAAAAAAGTTTTTTTTTATTTTTTAATTCTTTGAAATAACTAAAAATCCAAAAAAAAAGCAAAAACGAATAATTTCAAAAAAAAATTAAATTGATTGTTATTTTGTTCTTTACTAAAAATATTATTAATTTAATTGAGAAATTTAATAGCGGTGTGAAAGAAAAAAAGCGGATAATTTTATATCGAAATTGAATTTAGGAAAGATGTAGGCAATTTGCGGATAACCAAGCAATTCTTCAAGTTCGAATTCTGGAAAAAGATTCTGAAATAGATTTGCTAAAAGCGCAAATAAATACATGTGCTGCAGTGGATGAACAATTTCGTTTAATAAAAACAAAATTGGATAATGAAGTGAGCTAATTTAATTATTCCATTTCTAATTAATTGTTATAAAATGTGTGAATAATGTTTGTACTAGCATTTCATTATTTTTCTAAGAAAATAAATAATTTTTTCTCTATCAATTATATTTTTTATTAAATTCAATTTTCAGGAAAGAAACAAGTGGATTTAAGATTAAAGAAAAGAGAAATTACTTATTTAGTTACTTAAGATATGCAAATTCTTATTTCCTCCTAAGTTTTACTGTTTGATTAATTAAGTTAATTTCAGTTACTCGAAAGTAAAAATAAAAGTGATCAAATTCGTGTTTTAACAGAACAAGCTGAAATTGTTAAAAGGCAACACGAAAATGAAATCCGAGAAAAAGATAAAGTAATTTTAATGAATAAATAATTTTATCAAAATTTAGATGAATTTTAAAATATCAACAAAAAAGACTATTTGATAATATGGATAAACTTATCATTGTGTCTTCAATGATAAGGATCAATTCATCACTGTGTTAGCATTAATTAGCTTTCCAAGAAAATTAATAAATAATTGAATAAGTTTGGATAGGTAAAGTAGAAAATAAATGTAATCTACTATTATAGTTCAAAGATTATCAATGAACAACTTTATCTTTGAAATTATCAGTTATCCAGTCCTAAAATTATTATTCATATTATTGTGAAATATATTTTATCTATATTTGACACTTTTTGTTTTCCTTTCTATTAATTTAACTTAATAAACTACCAGAATTTCATTTTTAATAAATTAACATTTTTATCACTGTATTTTGCTATCACTTAATGATTATTTCTTCCTTCTTATCACTGCTAATTACTAATTAACATTTAGATCATTCGTACATGAGACATATATCATATAAGCTTCAATCAACAATCATTCTATCCATTATTCGAACCGTACACTTATCATTTATTTTAGTGTATCAGCGAACTTTTCTCGAAATTAAAAGCAGCTGAAGATGCAAGTAAACCAGCATTTGAAAAAACAGCTAATCTTCAAAATGAAATTGATGAATTGAAAAGACAGGTAAATGAATTTTCCATGTTAATATTCTAAAAGATATAAAAGAATTAACTTTTTTTTATATCATTTCTTATCACTTTGATAAACTGATAATAACAGTCAACAAATTGTTATTATTCGTTATAAAGCATTTCTTTTTTCCATTCATAATAAATTATTGTTTTCTTTATTTCCTTTCTATTTTAAAATTAATATTTATCTACAAATTATCAATTTATTGGAT